GGAGGGAGGGAGGGAGGGAGGGAGGGAGGGGATGTGCTGAGTTCGACCTCCATGCTCGACGTCATTGCATTTTGGTCGTAGTTTTGATGACGCGAACGGTGAGGGGAATCGGGAGACCTTCCCAACGTTGTACTTCCGCTAGTCTTTTTTACATGGGACATGAGATCGGATAGAAGTCGGCCTCGACAAGTCGTCGATTTATACCCGAAATATTCGTCAATTTTCACTGGCAATTTACGCGCGGTCCCTAACAACGACACCACCATTAAAAGTTGCCCAGAATCTCTTTTAAGGACGAGCACGGTTGCCTTAGGCAAGCTGCGTTGCCAATTGTCTATTTTCACGGGTAAAATGAGGTTGAGTACACCCCCCTGTAGGATACAGTTGGACAGAAGTTCAATGGCGCATCGATCTTGGAAGCGTTGACCCCTTTGGGTCCAGCTCTTTTTTTTTCGGCAAAAACAAAAAGGGGGAAGAGAAAGTGCGGGAGAGAGAGACAGAAGTACAGCAGAAAGAGACGAGTGTACTTCTGTAGACGAACGGCTATCTCCACCCATTGGCCATGAGGGCAGCCCGCGACAGGACGGTGGGCACAGACAGGGTCAGAGAAGGGTTCATGCGTGGTCGCGGTGCGGCCGGTATGGCAGGTTAGGCTTGTAGACCTCGAAACGATCGGTCGTCAAGCCGCCTAAGCTACGCTCTTTTCAGTGTATTCAAATGACCAGTGAAAATTATCAATGAGAGGGCTTGTAGACCCATATCTGGTTCTTGTACTTCAATACTTCTCTGTCCCCTCCCCAATGTGAGCCCTGCCGGCTTACTACAGCTCCTGTGATTTTCCCACAATTCCCACAAGCACGCAGGCACACACCAACACACACCTACCTTAGCATCAGTGGCTCTCTAGGTTCGGGCGAGGGTATGTGTGGGGCTATGATGAAAGTGTATATGTATGTGTTGCTGTATTATGGACTCGTCTTACTGCTGCTGCTGTGTAGAATAGCTGCTGACACAATAACTGCCGGATCTTGGGAGTGTACGATATTCAAGTTTGGAGGATAGGCAGCATACCACGATATCCTGGCCTGCTTGGCCTTGAAATGCCCCTTTTCGCTGTCCTCCTGTCTTGATTTAGTAGCTCCCTAGATTCGGGCGAGGGCATGTATGTGGAGCTATTGATGTTTGTCGCTCTGGAAGGATAGACTATGGGGAGAAGTTCATGGTGGCATGCACATAGAGAGCAGTGTGCATTTTTCGAATTTTGGCCGTTCCAGGGACCTTGATATTACCCGCTGGCACCAACGTCTTTCATTGGTCACCGGGTAGCGCGGGCGATGCGAATATTAAAGACACACCTATCTATAGACTTGCCAACACCTGGCGTGGAGGGATACAGGGCGGCAACTCCATGGCATGCCACAACACCATCATCTGCGAATCATCAACCAATGATATGTCAGGACGCCTGCAGACCCCAAAGGGTTACAAATTTTGCAAGCAAGGCTCGTGTGTTTGTTCAAAACAACGAACTTTTGCAGCGTTCTTGACTCTGAAGCATACTTTCAACTCCCCCCGCGTGTCCGACCATCGTACGCCGCTTCGCGGATGCTGTTTTTCGTGAAGCCCCGACGAACAAACCTGGGCTGCTGCCTATGGGGTGGCAGACACGACCTGGGGGCACCGATACCTCGTCGGCGTATATTGGGCGTTCACAACCATGTGAGTGAGCACTTAGATGGTCTTCGGCTGAAAGAGTGTTTAGAGAGAAAAATAGCTTAAGATTCAACTATCCCATCACGGAGGTACAGTAGGCAAAGCGGAGTATCAGACATGGAAAGCCAGAATTGTCGCCTTACACTCCACAAGATATATTTTGTATACACAGGTGGCTTAAGGTCTGCAGTTCACCGAGACCGTTGCCAGCAACCGCTACACATCTAAATCGACACGTGGTACGCTCACCGGCCAGGCTACCGCATACCACTGAGAAGGATGAAACGCAGGAAGGTTGGTAGATTTGGCAAGAACCTGATTGCGCACCTGACGATACCGCCACAATGCGATGGTGTTCTCGTAGGACGACGGTGGGGTACGGCGATATTACTAGCGCGAGCGATCTCGAGCGGTGTTTTTCTATTGTGGGGATGATTATCGGCGCGACGGTGTTTGGGTACATCATCGGAAACGTGGCCGCCATCATGGAGAATTTCAACGTCACCGACGCCATCGAAAACGGCAAGATGAACCAGATCAAGGAATGGCTCTACGACAGAAAGGTACATCAACATTTTCATAACAATACTTTTGGCTCGACTTGCGTTGGTTTGCTTCAAGCTTCACTCACTCACTACTAACGTTCGATATTGAGAGTTGGGCTCGAATCTCGCATACTGCTGAAAATAGGCCCCACCAAAGGCGAGCGGTTCTTCTCTGAATTCGTCTGCTGCTCACAACGTAGATGCGGGCGTGTGCGTGCACGGACCCATTCGTGTCTAGCCGTGGCATAACCAGGAGTTTCACTCTGTCCCCTCCACACTTGGTGCACCGATGGCCGTTGGTGAACGAATACCGCACGCTGCCTAGTTTCCTCCAGCGCTGGCGGACAAGATCCGCCGTCAGTACCGCTACATCTTCACGGAGGTGGGAGTCTTCGACAACTCGGAGATCGTGGACGTCATGCCGGGCGTCATGTCGACTTCCCTGCTCTACGCCCAGCACCGAGCGGTGGCAAAGGGGGTCGGGTTTCTAAGGCAACGCCCGCCGGTTTTGGTCGGCCGGCTGTTACGGAAGATGGTGCCGTGCTTCGCCAACGTGAGAAGAGAGAAAGGGGGATCTATTCATTTAGTTGGTGTTGGGCGTGGGGATGAATCTGTGCAGTTAGCTCAATCTATTGCCGCAGGGATGCTGTGGTTTCCTTGGTCTTTTCGTCATCCAACCCTATATTGGCCGAGGGTCCTTGGTACGAAGCGCTGCCGGCCCTGTCCCCAAGAGAAAGTGTTTCACCCCTCTCCTTCACCGTTTGAACGGCAACCGATGACAGTGCGGCGACGTGCTCTACCTCGAGCACGAGGTAGGAGGGCACTGGTATTTCCTTCGTGCGGGTACCATTTCGTTCTACGTGTCTATGTCTCCGCTGGAGACGCAGTCCGAGGTGCTGCTGATGCGAAGCTTGTCGGACGATGGACACTTTGGTCTGACCCCCGTACTGCTTAACGTGCTCAACAGGTGAGTGTTTTGAGGGGGTAACTTGAAAATGTGGGTTGGCATGATTGGGGTGCGGTGACAACCGTTGAAGATGGAACATACAGGGATACACGCAGTGATTGGGGATTTCACGCTCACCACAAAATGCATCAAGCCCCGCAACACCATCATTCGTCGCCTTAGGTGCCAACGATCTCTCATGCGTCGTCCGTTAAAGCGTGGCGGCACAGCTTTCACCCACACTCGACTCAGGTCTTGGCATCCAACGTGGCAAAACGTTTTTATTAATCACAGTGAGACGGCCACGGCCACGGCGGCCGCAGAGCTGCTGACCATCCGGAAGGTCGACCTTATCGATATCCTGCAGCACTGGCCGGAGGTAATGGCGGAACTGACGATCGAAGCGGAACGCCTCTTCAAGGAAGTTAAGGTTAGTGAGGACCCTACGAAACCGGCAGCCCCCCTTGCAGGAGCGGGACATTATCGGAGTCGCTTCGCAGCTTTCAACATGAGACCCTGGCCGCCGCACACGCAAGAACCATACTGCCTTACCACCAGATGCTTGGTGTCTGTCATTGTTATGACGCTAGAGCAAAGTGGACCGACTGATGTCTACCGGGTCAGTCATTTTTATACAACGTTATTGGTGTCAGGTCAGTGCACAAGTATCCCTGAGGCCGTGGTGAGTGCATTAGGTTCGTGGGTGTTCGCTGAACACTTGATGGTTGGAGCGCCCTAGAGAACTTACTGTCTTTGGAAGTTTCCACCTGAAGCTGACACGCAGATTATACCCCCAAGTGTATAACACAAGAATCGACTTGTTCGCGATGTGTGGCGCCCCTGTTGTGTACAAGTGCGTAACGATCGGAATCCCTTGCTGTACTTGCAAGTAATATACGTGCCTGCCGACTATGAAACGTTTGGATGGCCGGGATGCCCAACCACACTATGTTATATCTGGTTTGGCACAGGAAACGCAAGGATGCTTACCAGCTTCTGGTTCATCCATGCAAAGCGTAGCCTGGGCCAGCGAAAACTCGGCATATCGCCCCGTCCCGGCTTTATGGGGATGGGGGGTCAATGGTCTAACGACTGCGGCATGCGTTTACAAGAGTACCCCCCCCCCTTCTCGCGCTTCACGATTTGACCTCTTCCAGCAATTTCGTGCGAGGAAGCAATCAGCGAGAGCAAAACTCCAAGCTTTATCATCTCGCACGGAAAATACCTTAAACGGTTCGTTGGTTGAGTCCGCCAGGAACAACTCCTCGGACTCTCCAGACACGCACGTCACGCATCCTTCCGCTCCTGCGGGCGCTGCGTCGGGCGCTGCTGCTGAGGGCCGCGGCGGTAGTTCGGTGATGAATGAATCCAAGCCTGGCAGAGATGAAAGGGGTTCAAACGACAGCGGGAGCGGTGATGATGGTGGTGGTGGTATGTTTTTTCGAGGGGACGAGAGCAAACAGGCGGAAGCGGTGGGCGATGTTAGTACTGATGACAGCAGTAGTGGAGAGTTGGAGCGAGAGGGACGACGAGAAGCTGAAGGAAGTGGGGGAGAAGGCTCGAAGGGTGGAGGCGGCGAAGAAGACGAAGAGCGTCGGGTGGCAAGAAAAGCTGAGGCGGCCGCAATGGCGGGCAAGGGGATAGGATTCGACGAGTCGCTCAGGATACCCGGGGTGGCTGGGGCCGAGGAAGCTGCTGGAGTATTACACGCCGCGGCAACGACGGCGGCAGCTACGACGGCAGTAGCACCAACAGTGGGAGTGGCAGCAGGCACCACGAACCCGGTTGAGGCTGCACGCGGGCGGGCAGCAAAGAAGCTACGTCCGCCACCAATCGTGACCAAGGACGCCCCCCTCATATCCCTCGATTTATCGTCCGAAAAGACCCAAGACGACGACCACAACAAGAATAGCAATGTTGCCGGTGATGGCAACGACATGTCAGCGGACCCGGAACACATGCGAAGGTGCTTCGTCGCCAAGACTTTCTCTCCGAGCGACCTCGGACTTGGGGTCTCCGCGGACGGAGCCTCTACCCCCGAGGCGGTGACAAAGGCGTCTCTTATGAAGGCCCAGCGCAGGCGACGGACCATCAACAAAGGAATAACCGAAATCGATGGCCGAAAGCAGTCTGTGGACGAGGTCTTGGGTTTGAGTGATGCCCTGCTTGGGAGCATACCCCCTGAACGCCTCTTCTCGATAACCGGAATGTTTCACCCCGAGGCGCCTATCAAGGTATGCCATACTTGCGTACGTGTGTTTGGTAAAGTACTACCGGTTAGTGTCGACCGCGCCACCGGACCGACCAATTGGGAAGTCGTTAGCGGTACAGCTGTGGGTAAAAATGGCGCTGTTTAGTCCGCGGGCTCGCCCGGACAGGAAGGTCGCGGACGAGATTGTTTGACAGAGTCCAGCCTCCGAATTTATTTTGCATAAGGAAAAAAACATCACGACAATCAATCAGATTTCTCCTTTTCGAAAATTTTGGCGAATCAGAAAAATGCGGGGACCTTTTATCCAACTCAATACCTTGTTAGCGTCGACCACGCTGAAGTAATTGTCAAACTGATGAAGATGTGTAAGGTTGCCTAACGAGGAACGACTATGTGTTATTGCCCGCAAACGCTCCGGGTGTATGTATCTATGTGTCCGTGAGCTGGCTCTTCTTTGGATGGGTGGGACGTTGCAGATACTTCCTAGATCACTATGTAGTAGGTAGATGTAGACTTAGTTCGGTGTGTTTCAAGGGTTCACCAAGAGCATGGGTCCATGAGCTTGGTTGGCGGAGAATGTCGGGGAGTGGGGGGGGGGCGGAGTTGCACGGCGCTGGGGACAAAGCACCGTGACGACACCCTCTATGACGAACGATGCTTTCAACGCACACCCGCGATTCATTTGTCCGGCTCCTTGCGACCCTTCATGTGGACTTAGGTGCCTGCCCTCTGACTCCCTATTTCCTGCTCGACGACGAGAGTAGAATAGTCACCAGCTTGATATACCAAGGGGCAGACACGAAGCACGACCCTAGAACCATAGCATCGTGCGGGCTGTGTGTCCTCACCCATCAATCTCTTGCCGCCCAGGATCAAGCGGCCAATGGTCTGTGAAGGATTCCAGCGCGATTTCCGACGATTTTATTACAAACATTAACTATTACGCCTTCTCCGCAACCAAGGGCTGGGTGGCTTTTCGTTTCGCGTGTTCTGACGACTCTCAATTCCGTGCCGCTGTTGCTCAGGTTTCGTGGGACCTCTGGTTGTCCATGGTGATAATCTGGTCGGTGCTTGAGGTAACGTACCGCCTCGGCTTCGATCGCCCACCCGAGGGCGGGTGGCAGGTGCTCTCGTACTTCGTGGACGCGCTGTTCTTCGCGGACATGCTGGTCACCCTACGCACGGCTCTTCTCCACAGGGACGGGGAGGTGGTGGCGAACCAGAAGCAGGTCGCGGTGGCGTACCTGAAGGTCAGGGACAAGTCTGAACAGAGTGAATCATGCTCGATAGAAGTTGGTAGATTGTAGCCTTTATGAAGGTTATCTCGACATTGGCAGATTTAAGCATTTTGAAGGTGATCTGCATTACAAGGCTGGAACCTGGAGGGGGGGGAGGGGGGGGGCGACGAGACGACCAAAGTACGACATGGCTGCAGAACCTCGAGTAGAGCTGTAGCAAAGCTGCCTTCCCTTAAATCCTTGTGATTCCAAAGCAGAGCCCCCACCTTGTCCTTCCTTCCCAGAACATCTAGCACGTCCGCAGCCACTGCCGGCGTGCTACCAATAGTTGCGGCCATTTGTACTACGGATTACCAGCCTTTTTTGGCACCACTGGGGTTGACAGTGGGCTTTATTGTATAGACTATGACTGTCTGACGATGCCCACCGTTCTGATTGACCAGGGGTGGTTCACGGTGGATCTGATATCTACGGTCCCTTGGGACCTGCTAGTGCTGCAGATTGCAGTGGGCAACGCAAACGCGGCCACGTGAGTCAAGCAACAAACTGTCGATCCCTCGATAGACTTCTCCAACGTCCGAGCAGTTTATACTCACACAAAAACAAAAAACGAGCCGTCTATGACGGAAACTGACAACTAGTGCGTTGATCTCAAGTGGTGCACTATCATGCATGATTTAGCGCGTGGGCGGCGAAACGAAATAGATCCTAGCCGAGCATCTTGTTTTCGAAACAATCGAGTGGAATCGTCACGGAAGACGAAGACGGGATGCACCAATCCACGTCTACACCCTGGAAGCAAAAAGAATGGCCGCAACAAGAAGAGAAGGAGACACTCACATGTTGTGCAAATTACGCGCGCATGCGGACAAACAGATCAACCAGGCTGGTTCGCATGCTGCGCCTGGTTCGCCTGATGAGGCTGATCCGCCTGCTCAAGATCCCTGACTTCATGGAGGAGTGGGAGGAAAGCTCCCCCCTGGGTCCCTCTAGCGTCAAGCTTGGGCGACTGCTGGTGATCATGGCCTTCTCGGCGCACGTGAACGCGTGCATCTGGTGAGAGAGCGAGAGAATGTGGCAGGCCTCTGACGAATCGCTGTTGCTGAAAGACTGTTCACAGTACTCCATGCATACCCTTTGCTCGACAACTAGTCGGCTTGGTAGTGGACTTTTGTGGGCAACAATGGACAGTAGCTCTATGTATACACAAGTACACCAGTGCTACCGTCATGTATTGAATATTCTGGGGATCCAGTGGGCCATGACTCCAAGTCACCCACGGTATGCCTCCGATGCGCTTCCATCATGACTAAGTGGGTGCACTAAATCCTCAATGAGGGTAAGTAAAACAATGCAAATTACTGCCCCCGAGCACCGCGCACGACGTGTTTTTGCCTTTGGTGCTCGGAGGCGCAGAGCGAGAGGTATTCGAAAACACTGGTGGGCAACCAAGTTCCGCTGGAGTATAGAACTCCATCATGCTCTGTCCTCGGCTTTCCAAAACATGCAAACATGCAGGTACGCGGCGGGGTTGCACACGGCCGCTGAGCACAACTGGATCGCCGACTACTACTGCTCGGAGGACGGGGTCTCCGCAGAGTGTCCCAGCAGCAAGCGGGCCTTCTCTCTGTACCTGACCAGTATCTACTTCGCCTTTACCACCATGACCACCACGGGATATGGGGACATCTTGCCCAACCGGTGAGCATCACTATCTGTATGAAGTGCATGGATACACGTGTGGAACACGTCGTACTATCTAGTATATGAGAGTGCTTGGTTCCATTTCCGAACAAACACGCTAGACCGCCTCCGCGAGAAATCAAGTAGGGAGGAAATAGTACAGGGACGGGGTACACAGACCCTATCTCTAACCCAACCCTAACCCAACTTCCCCGATTGTATGCTTTATCCAACATGTTTACTTTCCTAATTGAAAAACCCTACGAAGGCTACTGAACACGCTCGAACCTGATGTGTGATTCAGGTGCTACCTACTATTCACCGTCCAGTGGGATACGACCGGGGGAGTAAGACGACCCACACGCCCGGTGTTAGATATCCAACGCCTGGCACATTTCATGCCCATCAGTGCTCAATGTGGCCATAGCCAACAGCATGTAGAACGGATGACACTTATTTCCTAAAGCATCGAACAGGTTGTGCGTGACAGCATCGCTGACAACTGGAGCCTATAACAATGAACAGGCTGTCGGTGATGGAGCTTGTCGTGGCGATAGGTTCCGAGGTGATTGGGGCGACAATTTTTGCGTGGGTCATCGGCAACCTGGTGAGACAACATGTTGTGATGTATCATCAACAGATCAAACGTGTTTCACTTGTTGGTTTCCTCCCAGTCACGCCGTTTGTATAAATGCTGACAAAGTAAGACTATCGAAACAGTTGGGGGAGTGGGACGGTGTGACGCGGTACTCATTTGGATACCCGTCGGAGGAAAGGCTTAGTCTTCCGTCAAAGATGTTTACCCCAGGTCGCTCCGAAATTTATTTGATATGTTGAGTTCAAGATCTACAGCAATAGTGAAGTCTAAGACCCGACCAATCGAGGAGCTTTCTGGCAAGACTTTTTTTTTTTTGTACCTCAAAGTGCTTTTGTGAGCTCACGATCTAGCGAAGGTAGAAAACCCCACTCGCCGGAGAACGTTCTGGCAAAACTTGTGTGCCACAAAGCGCAATATAATTGTGTGGAGCTCACGATTTACAGTGCAGGTAACTGACCCGCCCTCGCACATTTCTGCTTCGAAGCGCACCAAGAAACTCGTTAGGGACCGTAGTCCGCCCATCCGGAGCGCTCGGAAAGCTTCCAATTGGAGAGATTTCACGTAGCGTCTGCACATGTAAGTATCTTTTCGTAAGTGCGCACGGTATGCCCTTTGTCGCTGTTGAAAAAAAACGATGTGCGGTGGGTGTATTTTTTGCTACTGTGCAGGTTAACCTGGTCCTTAACCTCGACCCGGCGGAGAGGAACCGGAAGAGCATGATGAACTACCTCACGGAGTACATGCGGGAGGTGCCGCTCAGCACCAAGGCCAAGCAGGCTGTGGCAAGAAATTATGCCTTCCATCTACAGGTGTTCATTGCTTCAGTCTCACCCATGCGAGCACACGTGCAGACAGGGAGTGGGTAGGTTCTCGCATCAACTGCGTTCTCTCCCTCTTAAGTATTGTGCGTGCACACACACACAACATGTGGGTCCTCTGGTTTGTGATCCAGTCCACAAACAGGTGCTAGACGTCGTAGCAACCCCTCGGGCCTCCCATTGCCGTTTGGCTTGCACAGCGTTCCAGTTTGATTTGCAAAGGGTTGCATCGAACTTAGGAACGGCATGCGGTGGAAAGAGAGGCAGAGGAGCATGAAGACAAGCTACACAGACTTGTAGAGTAGACCATGCCAGAAGCATCATATTGCATCGGGGCGGGTGGTCAATCCACAGCAGGATATTCACCGCGTGGGCGCAAGCATGTCCTGAGGCTTTCTCACGAATGTGTGGAGCGGCAGTTAGCGATCATTGTGCAGCACGGCCCGATATTGTGTCGCGAAATACCGAACAAGTTCTTTGGGATCGTGCTCACCTACGCTAGTGTACCCCACACCACGCCAGCCCGTCCCTCAAGCTTTACTGCCATGCTCGCACTCCCCGTACCAACCTACTGATGACCTTCTTTTTGTGCTGCGGCGCAGATACATAGCGTGTTTAACCAGCCTTCGATCCTGGGAGACCTCTTACCTCATCTTCAGAACCAGGTAAAGGATGCGGAAGCAAACCAAACAATTGACCCATGCTACATGCTATCCTCGGGCTCGGTTAAACCTTTCCACTTTTCTGCGGGACGAAACTCGTCTGTTGCGCTGTTAGATAATACGCAAGTAGATAGTTGTATCGACGAGTTCCAAACAATGCAACTCCAAGTATTTAGTCCACGCGATGAGGCACGGAGGAAACTGCCCCATGTCCTAAAGTATGCAAGCTTGCACTCGCATGAAGACCACTGCTTCTTGTTCCACACACATCGACGGCTGCCCGGAGTCTTCGGTACAACGCGTTGAGATAGCCCTCTCCTTTGCGTGAAAGGGCACGACGATTGCTTGCTGCTCCAAGAAAGGCCGGTTCGGCACAAAACCCTCTTGCACTTGAATGAACGTAACTTGATGCACGGATCCAGTCAGGCCGTCCTGTGAAACCTACTGCTATTGTGAAACGCATGCCCTGCTCTCGTGTATGTCCGCTCGTGCACATTTTCTGATATCGCGCAGGCCTATATGTTTCTGTGGCGATCGCTGATGCCAAAGCTTCCCTTTTTGTGCGCCATGGAAGACCAGGTAAGCATGCCAACATGGACAAGATATAGAATGTGGTTGACGAAGAACATTCTGCAGGTGAATAGCCGTGTAACATGAAGGACATCCCTCCAGACAATCGTTGGGGAGAATGGGCCCTTTTCATTGCCACCTCCACGTAAATATCATGACGCCGAGGTTAAAGAGGGAAATTCAGCCGCCCAGTATAGTTCCTAAATAAACTGGCGCGAATGGTTCGCGGCAAAGGCGTATAACTACACAGTTTTTGTGAGGGGTACGTCACGGTTTTGATTTGAACGGCGAAAGTCCCCCGCGTCTTGCCTTCCATCCAACGGGAGTACGAACAGCCCCAACCTGGTCAATAAGAAGTCGTCGCAAAAGCAAAAAGTGTCAAAAGTCGCTGGGCAAGATGCCTACCCCTTCGCTCCCTGTACGCCTCGTCCCTCACGCAACACCATTTGCCCACTTCGTCTGGCCGTGCAAGTGCTCAAAGTATTATACCATGCTGTATCCACAACAAAACTTGAACAACATTCGCTCTGATGAGTAAGTACATCGTTCGCCCAAAACGCCTCATCGTTCCTCGCCGGACAATACCCCCCCTGGTCAGGTAACCGGTTTTGTGCGGGTGGTGCTACCCCTGCTTAAACCCGCCACGTTTGCTTTGGGCGAGGTGATTGTGACGCCGAAGATCGGCACGAGAGAGATGGGGTTCATAATCTGTGGAGAAGTAGAGGTGAAGAACCGTCTAAAGCTTGCTGCTGCGACCGCCTCGCGTGACTCCATTTTACGCACTGTGTTTCGCCAACGCCCCTCCCTGCAACGGCTTCTTCGTATAATGATGCTAACAAAGGCTTGAGCGATTTTGGTTGAAGAGCAGATTGAGCCGTTGGCCGGTGGGCGCACGCAAGTTGGACCTACAAAAAATGATTGCGAACAACTTCTTGCTGTATCTTAACGCGATCTTTGCAACACAAGGCGTTCAACTCTATGTCACGGAGACGAAATGTCTGTACTATTTGTTGTACTTGTGGTTTGATCAGTCGACTCGTGCTTGCTTCATTTCATCCACAACATTGGCCAACATCAGGTGAGATTGGCCAAAGGGAGACGGAACTACAGGACGATGACCATGAGGGAACGTCAGCATTTCGGGGAGATGTTCATGCTACTGCCAGAGCACGTGCCGTTCAGGGGCCTAGCACAGGCAAGCTACGGGAACTTTGTTGCCCCCGATCTGGCGTTTCGGGGCTTTCATGGTACTCAGATAAGGATGCCCCGCAAATTGCGCCGGATGGTACCATATTGCATTTCGGAGGCTGGGTGTTGGATAAGCGTTTGCATGAATTGCTTCGTGGGTTTGCCGTGGGTGTGCAGTAGCTTTTCGCAAGACCGACAAACCATATATTGTTCCAGGTGGACAAGTTGTTCGTGTGATTCCATGTGATAAGGACGCTCGACTTGTTTCATTTGTTTCGCAACAACTTGTCACCAAAACAAACAGGTGCGCGCCACGTCTCGGGTGCGCACAATGACACTAACGAGGAGCGCGTTTTCCACGCTGGAGGATCGGCACCCCCACATCTCCAGCTTCATGGCCAAGCAACTCTACGAGCCCAACAAGACCCCATTGTGGGTCGTTGTGAACAAAGACTTCCAGTGCGAGGTGCGTCGACCCTTGCATAGAACGGTTTCCCCGAATGCGTCTGCTGACGTTTACCTCCCAATCATAAGTAAACTTTGTGGACGTCATTCTTGATGGGGGCGGCCGTTAGGAGACCCATTGGTCAATCATTCATGCACCCCAGAAGCCCCTTCTACAGCTGTGCCACTGCCAACACCCGTCGCCCGTAGGTTTTCCAAATGTCTTCCAAGTTCATGTCATATCGTCAATGGGTTGTGTGTTTTGTCATCTCTTTCATCTATGTGAAAGGATTTTCCGGGACGAAGAGTCCAAGCTGTTCGAAATAGGCTTACCCCTCGGGCCGTGCCCACAGAACCCCCCCTTTATCGAGGACAGGTTGTGGGCACACCTTGCTTGATAGCAGGGCCCACCATATCACCGCGGATGCAGAAAAGCCCACCGGGTACCGTATTTTCATGGTAGTCGATAGGCATACGGCTTCCGCACTACAGTTCTCGAACTAATGGCACCTGCGATTGAAACGCACGAAATCCTCCCTGTCGCGTTTCACTTTTCTTCTTGCATGTTGACCTACAGGAGGTTCTGAAGCCGCGCTGGAGTTTGCACAAACCCATCTACGAATGAAACTACTTCGCCTTTGCGAGTAGCGCGTTTTTGTCTATGATGTTACTCGCCGGACACACGCACAATCTGAGAACTGTCTTAATGCTTTGACAGGTCGATAAGTTGGAGGCCAACACGATGATTAGCGATTCCAGTACGCTTGAGACGCCGAGGAGCCCGGAGGGTACCTTCCTAGAGCCGGTGAGAGAATTGTTTCCGTCTTGAATACGATAGTTTTGAGCCGTGAAGACGCGGAAGCATCCATGTCATTTTGCCCTTGACTTCTGCGAAGGGACAATAGGTCGAAACATGCCACCTCTATTACCACTCGATCCCGCCAGCCCGTTTCGTCAACAACTTAAGAGGATAGGCCCTGTTGTTTGCTACGTCTATTTGCTCGTTTCCTCGTTGGCACTCGCCCCCTTCTATGATCCCTGGTCCTCAACCGCTTAGTATCTAGGATCAAAAACTCCACCGATCGCCTACCACGATTTCCCTCCTCGAACCCTAGCTCCTGCCCTATCCATCCTCCTTCTTATTCGGAACTGTCTAGCCGCTTGACAGCGTTGGAGAGGAGGAGAAGATTCTCAAGCAATTCTACTCTGTGGTTGCAATAACAACTGATCGCAGTCAGTACGGACCCCCAAAACGGCAAAGGTGGAAATAACGGGGGACAGTTACACAGAAACTATCGCAGCTCAATCAACAACATGATCGGAATGACCGGTCTCTCTTGCATTCCATTTAGTTTCTCGTTCCTGTCCACTACTCTGCACAAGAGTTCGCCACGTGCACGGTCAGAATGAACAGCTTCACACAGCCCCCTATGTACTCGCACACTTCGCGACCACCCTCTACCTCTTCAGCAATTCCGTCCTCAATTGAAACGCTGACCGAAAGCATGACTTGTTAGTGCCAGGCAGTTGCTGGGGAACACGTCTCCACCGCATCACAAGGGGTGCTCCTAACTCCGATCGAAACCACACATCCAACCGATCGTGTTTGTGTTTTCCTCAAGCCAACAAGTGAGGTGGTACTAGAATAGCCTACCCACCACGTATGGACAAACTCGTCTCAACCTTGAGTAGTCTAGTCCAATTGCAGGTCACTACATCCAGTTTCTCGTAATCGCGGGTCATTCGAGACTAGACTAGTGCATCTGGGCTTTGACGTACAAGCCGGGCCGATCTCTCGCATTCGCGATTGTTGGTGTTTGGCATATCATCTGAGTATCCGTTTTCCCCCTGCCCCACTTACACGAGGCAAAAGCTGCAGTCAACTTCAACCAGCATGCACCCCCCCCGACTAAAACGATACACCAGATTCTCAAGGAGGCAGTTGAGATAACCGCAACAAAACGAGTGTCGACAACAGCGAAAATCCCGATAACGGTTGCTTGTTGCGTAGGTGACATGTCCGGATGCTCTCGACAGCACATTAGTCAGATCGCCCGGAGGGTCCATCACGATGCGAAGGCATGTGGGACCGTCTAGGTCACCGTCGTTCAGTCCCAGGGTCGCGGCTGCTCGAGAGCCGGCCGTGCGCAAGGCCGTGGGGGCGACCAACGCCGCCAGGATGGCGGCTAGTGGCAGAATTTTACCGCAAGGGCGCTAGTTGTCGCGAGGAGTTGCATCGTACGTGTTGTTGTGGGGCCCTCAACAAAGGGTAACGTCCGCACGTGACTTCAACACGAGGAGATGATGGTCGGGTCAACTTCAGCCGATGATACGAACAGTGTAATATCTAAATTGATTTGTTTGTCGAATGGGTTTTGAATCCTCTGAAGTACATATAGGCTGACTATAACATGTACTTCTTGCTTTCTGTTGGACGACTATTGCTTTTGCCAGTTGTCACAGCACGCAGTTGTGTGGTATACCGACGAATTCGTTACGGCCACAAAGATTGAACGTGGGGATACAGCTTCGTTGTACCCATTGCAGCAAGCAGTGATTCGCTACCACAATTGTTTCATGTCCTTGTGGTGCTGAACAACAGGGTCGGTTCGGGCGACCGTCCGAAGTACTCTGTTCAGGAGAGTTAGTTGTACCATAGGCATTGTGACGCCCAACCCACAACAACCCAGAGCTAGGGAAACGAAGCAGAAACTTCTCAGGCGCCGATGGTTCAGCGTCGCTGATAAATTGAGGGTTGATTGTTGTTCTACCCGGAATAGGGTGGTGTACACGTTGAACGTGCCCTGCATATTATGGTGTGTGTGTTGAACGTACGTACCTCAAATCATGTCGTTTGTGCAGGGCGGGCAAGGAGTTGGTGATTTATTTCTCGCTTTCGCGCGGTTGTCGGCAGGGAACGACAACAATAGACTACCAAGGTCTCCTGGCGCGGGAGAACCGTACGCGTGGAATGAGAACGAGGGACGATTGCTCGTGACGTAGTCGAACGCGAACAACACGGACGGGTAGAAAAAATATCTGTAATGGCTTTTTCGAACGTTGACTGCAAGCCTTGTTTAATATTAAGGGTTAGTTTCAAATGGAAGGGGTGAGGCGGTATACCCTCAACGTCGAGGGCATTCAGATAACCGGAGGTCAAGAAATCTATATTTTGATCATTAGCATCCTGGTCGACGATATCACAATTATATCCCGTGAGGAGATCCCTGGCAACATGTCCAGGGCGTATTCGTTGATGGTATCGATTATGGCATTTGTGAATGACAGGATTGCGCGCGTCTTGAAGGAGGGTGGGTCTGCATCCAGAATGTCTGGGTAAATAAATTGGATATGAGATCATCGGTGCCGCCAATGGCAAATATGTCCGAGTTGAGGTCGTCCGTGGCATATGCCGAAGAGAATCGACTCCATCGCCCATCGCCGTGTGTGGTTCAATGCCAATGCTAACGTTGCGCACGAAAGAGGCAAAAGCGGCATCTTCACGGTCACGTTGAGAAACAGCCAGGCGCATGCGATCGACATGAACCCAAAGAGAGCTTGAAATGAGGGAAGCATGGTTTATGCGGGCCCTCCGTGTTGGACAACGGGTCCGATCTGGCGAAAGTCCCCCGACAGCAAAACCGTTTTTTGCGTCACATGCTGGCTGCATTTTCATCAAGCGCTGGAGCGTGATAACGCGTAGACGGAGAAACTGTGACTCATGGGGATTTCGTCCCGCACAATAAGGTTGCATTTCCGCAAGACTTGTGCGCGTTTACATTCTGCAGAAATATTGCACATGGCACCAGTGACATTGTTTTCTTCAAGAGGTATTTTGAACGCAGATAGGATGGGCGGTCCAACACCAGGTAGCTCAAGACCGGCAATTCCGGTACTTACCACATATCAATATTTTTTCAGACCTGAGGTGGGCGCTGATAAGCTCCGTGTAAACGGACGAGACGGCGAGGAACGACGGGAAACGCGAAGAGGCGGACCGAGCGGCGCGACCAGCTGTGCCGGATTGAACCCCTTGATTGACTTATCCCCCCCCCCCCCCNCCCCCCCCCGGCACTGAACGATTGGTCATCGGTGATCGGTCCTGTGGGAACAATGCTCCGTCCTCTCGGGGACGCGTAGTCAATGGTCTAACCGCTAAGGCATGCAAAACATAAGAGTACGCCCCCCCCCCTCCCCCCCCGGCACTGCACCATTGCACCAACCACCCACGGACGATATGATGCGCATTCGCTGTCTCGGGTGGCCCGCCGTGTGTATTGTTGTTTTGAGTTTTCTTGTGTTGCCTTGTGTTGCTCTGTTTGTTCGTTTGTCGCCACGGTAGTGACTCTGGCGTGTGTCATTCTCTGTGTCGTTCTCTTTCTCTGTCCCATCTCCCCCTCTGCTCTCTTGTTTTTCTTTTTCTTTTCTTTTTCACTCTATTTTCCAGTCTATGGTCACCTCGCATAGCGTGTAGTGGCGAGCGGAGTGTCCTAGACTTTCTGTCGTTGATTTCTAACGACTTGCGGACCCTTCTGGTCCATTGTATTTTCGTTTACCCTTTATGGGTAAGTTAGCCGGTGACGACGGGAATCGACCGCGTCAAGTGTTAGACTAGTACGGACAGAGGAAGGTACTGGGTAGGGAGAACGGAACGGTTTTAAATGTGAAGTCAACAACAACAACAAAATAGGTTTTGGCTGTTTAAGCAGGCGTATCTATCAAAAACATGTTCGGTGGACTTGACATTACGCTATCAACAACGTTGTCGCAGGCAGGTCGTTACTCAAATCGGAGGGGGCGAGCATGTGCTTGAACGCAGGTATTCTGTGACGAAATGTATAATGGCAGAGGTAGGCCCACATGTTTCATTGGTACATCCGTGATACTGCAAGGCAAGGTCGATCTCGCGAAGAGTTGCGTTTTCGGTGTCAAAACGAGACATTGATATTCTAGAGTCTTGCGTAAACTGGGGTTTAAACTGTTCCCATAGATGGTTGGCCGGCACGCCATCGAGAATAAGAGTAACAAACAATTGGTGCAGTTGTTTCAACAATATTGACTTCTTGTGGCGGGGTGAATGACTGACGTCGTCGAGTGTTATTAGAAGTCCAAAGGATCAGGCGGGGTTTTCGTGCTTGAGTAGACGGAGCGCCGATCTCGACGCTGCATGTAGCACAGGCCTCCTTAAATGGTACCTTTTTTTAGGTTTAGTTAGCCTCTGCGACCACGGGAATCGGCCCCGTCAAGGGTTGGAATAGTAAGGACAGATGGAGGTACTGGATTGAGAGACCAGGATGATGGCTTTTATTGTTGAAGACAACAACAACAACACCCCCCAAACCGTATTTGAACCTTTCAGAGGGGGGGGGGGGG